GGTGTTCCTTTCCCATGTTTAATTTGTCCCAGGTGTTCCCCATGATGGTTCATTGATCCCAGGTGTGTCTCGTCATCCCCTCCTCCTGTGTGTATTTAAAGTGTTCCCAGTCCCTAGTTCTCTGTCCGCTGTTGAACGTCTTCCTGTGTTCGTCTCCCTTGGTTCATGCAAATAAAGTCCTGTCAACATATTCTCCAGCGTCTCCTCGTCCCTCGTGTGTGTGCATCGTGACAGTGTCTGAACTGTTAATCATGCTTTTTACAGTCATTTTAATTGTATTTGTGCAGGTCCTAAAAAGGTCTTAAAATCTTACATTTTTGCTTAATTATCTTACAGAAACCCTGCTCTGGCAAAAAACATCATTTCATGTTTTTAGGTATATCATTGTCCAGACCTCGGCTGGTGAGTTGGGTTCATTACTGGACCTCAAGCAATTTTAGTTGCAGACCCCTGCTTTAGAATGTTGCTAGCATGTTTCTGGCATTTTTATTTTATCATGGCTAGCATTTTTAGAACAATTAAGTTGCAAAATAAATATTTTATATTTAATAGCCTAATAATGTTAAATGTACAGTATATAAAATATTTTTCATGTTATTGCTGATTACAGATTTGATTATTGATGTGCCCGGATAACTCAGTCAATATATTTTAATACTTAATAAATCTGTTTTATTACAATTTAATAAATCTGCATCTGTTTTTGAAGAACCAGATTACCTAGAGAGCCATTAGCACAATTAGCTGATCTGGAATTCATCATATTATCTCAGGTTTACAGTATAAAGTGATGAAGAACAGGGCCTACTCATTAGTTGACAAACATCTCAAATTATGTGATATCTCGCTGAACAAACTATTGAATAATTACTGGAACTATATAGCTTTGAAAAGCAGTTTTAGGTTAAATAAAATCACTAGTTTGTTTTCTGAACCCTCTGGGGTTTGAGGGTGTTTTGGGGCCCTGGAGAAGTGTTGACATGCCCTGACATTTGTGCTTTTTTCAGTTTCTTATAAACATACAAATGGCAAAATTCTGATTAAATGTGACAAGTGGGTATTTAGCAAAGTGGTGTCCCATAGAGTAAACAACATAATTTTAGCTTGCCAATGCCAACCAGTAGCTTTTCACTTCACTATTTCTATATCAGCTGTTATATTCACTGAGCTCATGAATCTGGGTAAGTTTAAGTGTTTGGTAATTAATTAATTCATGTTTTTTTCTTGTGGTGTGTGACCTGATTTTACCCATCGCAAGTTATGGCTGTATGATAAAATTACTTAATGTGTTGTATTTCTAGCCACAGCAGTGTTCAGGAAATCTACACGATTCTTTTATTTATAATATTTACTAAGACTTACAGACCAAAGCCCGGAACTTGGCCTAAAGGAATAGTTCACCCCAAAATAAAAATGTGATGAACATGTACTCACTCTCGGGCCATCCAAGCTGTAGATGAGTTTGTTTCTTCATCAGAACAGATTTGGACGAATTTAGCATTACATCACTTGCTCACCAATGGATCCTCTGCAGTAAATGGGTGCCGTCAGAATGAGAGTCCAAACAGCTGATAAAAACATGACAATAATCCACAAGTAACACCACTCCAGTCCATAAATTCTTCTGGCCAAAATACCAGTCCATAATCCATAATAACGCTTCCTCCAGTGAAAAAGTCCATCCAAAGTTGTCCTCTCACAATAAAATCACCCACATGTTTGTTTAGAACTGTTTGGGACTGTTTTTGCTTGTAAATGGTAGAATAGTTATAATTTACATATTGTAAATTCTGTACATATTTCTCTCCTGATTCAGATGAGACAACATTTTTATGAGAGAGAGCAATATTATGGATAGAGGAGCTGGAGACAATGGTTTGAAGTTTAAAAATGTCTTGATGGATTTGTTTCTTACAAACACGCAGCTTTTCGCTTCAGAAGATGTTAACTGATGGACTGATGGTGGTGTGGATTACTTGTGGATTATTGTGATGTTTTTATCAGCTGTTTGGACGTAATTCTGACGGCACCCATTCACTGCAGAGGATCCCTTGGTGAGCAATTGGTGAAATGCTAACCTTAATCCTGATCAAAGTCTAGGATGTGAGAATGGTCTCTGATAGGACTCATGTCTGACAAGTGTTTGGTTTTTAATCTAATTTGTAAATTTAAAAGCACTGCATCATATTTACACATTGAGTGAGTGGGCTGGTGTTCATGGTGGGCTTAAAGTGAATATTTTTGTTTCGTGCTGTTAGAGCTTAGGATGGCTAGTGGCGTTTCAGATCCATCATTAGACAGACCCCAGGTGGCAGGAGAGTAGTGTCACCACAGACTGATTCTGGGTCAGTGTATTTGTGGCCTGTTTGGATTAGCCTTGCTGATAGCATCAGAGCTCTAGAATAGCCTACACTCTTAAAAATAAAGGTGCTTCACGATGCCATAGAAGAACTTTTTGTCTAAATGGTTCCATAAAGAACCTTTAACATCTGAAGAACCTTTCTGTTTCACAAAAGGTTATTTGGGGCGAAAGAAGGTTCTTCAGATTATAAAAAGGTAAGAAAGAGATGGTTCTTTAAAGAACCTTTGACTGAATGGTTCTTTGTGGAACCAAAAATGGTTCTTCTATGGCATCGCTTGAAGAACCTTTTGAAGCACCTTTATTTTTAAGAGTGTACCAAAAAGTATGATGAAGAAAATGTGTGGTTCTTCCCCTGTGGAGAGGAACCTTACTGTTAGTGTTCAGCTCATTAAATTTGAGACTGAGTCACAACTATATATATATAAAAAAATCTGACCATAATATTTCCTATATATATATTAATAATTAAGATTTTTCATTTTTTTTTCTATTAATGTTCATCAATGCTTCATTCTATTTGATTGACACTGCTTTTGACAATGAATACGCTGATTTGGTGCTCAATTATTATTAATTATTATTATTGTTTTTTTATTTTTGGTAATTTTATTTTTTATTTTTTTTTATTATTATTGGTATTGGTATTTTAAATCCATACTGGAGTAATAGCTGCTGAAAATTCAGCTTTGCCATCACAATAATACATTAGATTTTAACATATATTAAAATAGAAAACAGTTGTTTTAAATTGTAATAATAACAATTACAAGATCAATATCAAATGAATGTAGCCCTGGTGAGAATAAGAGACTTGCAAAAATATTAACAAATCTTAATTATTCTCAAGTTTGACCAGTAGTTTTGACACACACACACACACACACACACACACACACACACACACACACACACACAAAGTGATTATTACACATACTATATGCAGTATGCAGGCCTGTGCCTCTAGTATGCTTTTTATCTGAACAACATGACATCACTGTCAGTCTGTACATAAACATCTTTGCTTTTACGTGCTATCTTGCTGTTGCCAGCATTTAGCAGGAAGAGCTTTCTCAGACCTACCTTATTCCGAGTAGGGGCCCCTGGAAGCTTTGGTTTAATTCAAAGACTGCTTGAGGTGACAGATGAGCTCTTCTGCTAAGACTGTTGTTGAATTTCCCATGAGCTAACACAGAGGAAGTTACATGTGTCTTACGCATGAATCCTGAAATAACAATCCCGGGCCCTCTCAGTATGGTTTCACTGAATCTCATCTAATAGTTTAGGCATAATACTCTGCTAATCCTCTACTCCAGTGTTTCCCAACCTTTTTTTAGTCGCGGCACCCTTTGGAAATTGTAACAAATTTGTGGCACCCTACAAAATTAATTTTGTCACAATATTTGAATTTCTAACTTCTAACTTCTAAAATCGATATTCGGTACTTTTTCATATATACATATACATATATATATATGTATATGTGTGTCAGATATTTTTAATATTATTAATTTTTTTGTCCATGGAGGCAATCAGTAGGCTAATTTCTAATGAGGAGACCAATTTATATGACAGATTTTAATGTAGGCTTTTATTCATATGTAAACATTGTTTAATTACCATTAGGATTTCTTACACGGCACCCCTGCTCTCGACAGACGGCACCCCAGGGTGCCGCGGCACCCCGGTTGGGAAACACTGCTCTACTCCTTTCTTTTTTCCATCTTTTCACTGGCCTATTTCTCTCTGTGCCCATTACATTAGAGAGCTCCTGCCTTTCCCAGTGATTTCACCTCCCCCACTCCCCTCGAAGCTTCTGCTCATGTCTGCTGGCCTATTGAAATGAGACTGTTATTGGAATGTATTAGGCCAGGTTCGGTCTGATCCAGGCAGCCGGCACGGATGCATTTCCAGACTGTCATGCTTGCTTTCGTGAACAGAGCATCATCAATGGACTTAAGGATTTATCTTCTGATTGCTTTCAGATGGCAAGGTGGAGGTGACCAAGGAAGGCATGAAACTCTGCACCATGGGACCAGGGAAGGTGTTTGGAGAGCTCGCCATCCTCTATAACTGCACCAGGACTGCTACGGTACAGAGTGAGTGAGGAGAACAACAATGCACCTGCACATCTGCAATTCCAAATTGTTAAAGGGGTCATGAAACGCAGTTTCAGATTTGTATATTATGTTTCTCAAGGTTAGTTTATAAAGTTTGCAAAAGCTTTTGCAGCAAAAACAGTCTAGTATTAATAAAACAAAAAACATAATTTTCCATCCTCATTTTCACTCTCTTTGAAAAAAAACCCAAAAAACAAACAAAAAAAAAACTCTCAGGGGGTGTTACCTCTTACAGAAATGTAAGTAACCGCCCACTGTTGTGATTGGCTAACTTCATTGCACCATATAAAAGGTAAAATATATGCATTAATATGTTACTTTAAATCATTAAATACCTTATCTCTCAGCTGAGTACTCTTATAGTTTAAACCATTGTGAGTTCGCCTATAATAAGGGTCATTACAGTGTAACTCAGGACAAAGTCAAAGTGTCCCTCTTACAAAGTCCCTCTGCACTTCGAAAACTGTGGTCTTCCACACACACAAGCATACATCACCGTTTCTCCCACATGAGAAGAGTTTCTTTGACAGGAGAGCCACAGCAACACACAGATGCAGTGGCACAGAAATACTGATGTAATGAGGTCAAAGGTGTATGTTTATCATGTAATTTAACATGTCTTCGAACGTAGCTGAACCAATCAGAATCAAGGACTGGAAGGTAAACCTTCTTCCCATTGACAACATTCTGGCAGAGGGCAGCAGATTTTCCTCAAGAATTTGACAGTATTTTGCCCCATCCATTTTTCCTTCTGTCCTGACAAGTGCTCCAGTCCACTCCAGAGAAACACCCATAACAGGATATTACCACTTCCATGCTTTACTGTAGGAATGGTGTTAGTTGGATGGTGAGCTGTATTGCATTTCCGCCGAACATATCGTTTGGTGTAGAGGCCAATTAATTCAATTTTAGGGTGCTTTCACACTTGGTTTGATTGCCTGGTCTGGACCCCATTTCGATTGCTCCCCCGTCCCTGTTCCCGCTGGACTGCGTTCAAATTATTTTATCTGGGTCCGAACCGCGGTTCGTTTGCGTCATCAAGCCAGCAGCCGTTTACCCTGTTGCTTAGTAACGATGGCAGAGGAGAAGTCGGCAAAATGCGTAGCATTGCTCTTTTCACTTTTGTATTAATGTTTTTGTACCGTTGATTTTGCGCCAAAGCTTCAGTAAATAATGGTCTTACGAATGTACTGTAAATGCTCTAAAGCAGTGTTTCCCAACCTTTTTTTAGTCGCGGCACCCTTTGGAAATTTTAACAAACTTGTGGCACCCTACA